TATATCGCATCCTCTGCCAAAGATTTGTGTTGGCAGCAGTCACTCAAAACAAAAATGTTGAATCAGGACTTGTGTGGCTTCGGGGGGGAGGTGTGGATGGGAAGTATTTCGACAAATAATTTGCCTGTCAAGAAGTATAAAAACAGGAGAATGTTCATCCTGGCAAATTTTCCAGGAGTGTTATTTTTATGGAGGGGCTGGGGAGGCATGTGTGGCAGGGACAGTGAACAGGGAAGCTCCGAGCACCAACAACACATCTGGCATTTGGTTCTTGTGTCTGAGGATACAATTTAATGAGAACAAAAATATGTCTTCCTAATTCCCCTAAGAAATCATTAAAACATTTTGTTATTCTTAAATGTCTTGAAAATGAATTAGAGCCCTGAAGGGGCTGTTCGTATGGTATGTCTCCATCAGTTAAGGTTCCTCGTTCTCTAGCTTGGTGACAGCTGGGGATGTACGTCCCCCCCACCCCTCCATTTCTGGGGAGTAGAGTTGGGAAATCAGACACGTGGAGTCAGCACTAGGCTTGGAATGACCGTTTGGGGAGAGGCGCAAGACAGCACGGGAACTTTCCAGGAAGTTCCATGCCAATCTTGGGAGCGCTCACGGTCCCTGACTGGCACCGCGGTCTGGCCTCGTGGGTTAACATATTTTCAGAAAGATGTGGGTCCACAGTGAACCCCAGAAATGATGCTCTCTCCCACATGGGGGCTGTAAGCCCCTTCTCACCCCCAAACGCTCCCCTGGGTTTGAGACAACAGGTTACTTGAGTGATGATCTGTTTACCTCTGCCACCAGAATGCAAGTTCTCTGAGGTCTGGGCCCGTGTCTGTATCGGCAGGCTCATGGTTATGTTCCCAGTGCCTAGTGAGTGCTGGGCACACAGGAGGCACTCAATAAATGCCATCTGAGTAGATAAACACGTGACAAGCAGGAAGCACTAGTTGAAAAAAGTACCTTTTCATTCAAATAACTCTTCTCCCACTTTCTGCGTCTGAATCTTATTTCTAATTCATTCAGCAAACAATTATTAGGTGCCTACTGTGTACTGGATTCAGGGTACACAGGTTTACTATGACTCAGTCCCAGGCTTGGAGAATTTCACTTGTCCTAGGGACACACAGATGACGATAAGAACAGTTAACACTTAGCAAGTGCCACTCTGCGCCATGCACGCCGAAGCTTCCCAATGGCTGCATGAGACATTATTCCCAATTTATAGAAGTGAAGACTGAAGCTCAGGGAGGTGAATTAATTCATCCACAGTTACCCAATGAGTAAGTGGTACAGGCAGGACTTGAACTGGGGTCTTTGCCTGGAAACACAAGCCCATCTCAGTGCTGCCCCCTGGTGCTACAGGAAAGGTACTATGAGGCCCGGTGGAGGAGCTGGGCATGTGGACTCGTGCGAGGTATCTCTGGGGTCTGTACTGGGTCACCCTCCACTGTCATTCGCCACTGAGACTGTGCAACCCAAAGAATTGAAAAGAGTGGGAAATAAGAGGGTGTATTTTTCCAAATTTTTTCCCAGATAGCTCTGATAAGGGTGGAGACATCACAAGCAAAAAGGCTGCAAGGAATGGGGCGGCCTCTCGGTCTCTCGGCCACGTGCCTGGTGTGGTCCTCAGTGAGGGTGATAACGACCAGGGCTGCAGACACAGCTGTCTTGGCCTCATACCACAGGGCCATGCCCTGGCAGGGGGAAGGCACAGAGCCTGGAGGGCTGTGCTGTCTGGTTCCAGCCATTCTTGCCACCAAAACATTCTGACTGAGAAAACCCATGTGGCCATGCTGCCTTCCTGCGAGTGCAGAATCAGGGCAGAGCACGGGACTGGAGCAGAGCGAGTCGAGTCTGCAGGTGCCTCTGTAGTGGGCTGAATGGTGACCCCAAAATATACATCCATGTCCTAATGCCTGGAACCTGTAAATGTGACCTTTTTTGGAAAAGGATCTTTTGCAAATGTAATTAAGTTAAGGATCTTGAGATGAGATCATCCTGGATTATCTGGGCGGGGCCTAAATCCAATGACCAGTGTCCTTATAAGAGAACGAAGAGGGGGATTTGGGACCCAGAGACACAGGGGGAAGAAGGCCATGTGCAGACAGAGGCAGAGACTGGAGTGATGCAGCCACAAGCCAAGGGACACCTGGAGCCACCAGAAGCTGGAAGAGGTAGGCAAGAGTCCTCCCCTATTGAAATACAGTGTGTAACGTGAAGGATGCAAGTTACTCAGCTTTCTGCTCCCTACACCAAACAGTGTTTGTCTTCGGAGGGAGCAGAGCCCTGCCGACACCTTGATTTCAGACTTCTGGCCTCCAGAACTGAGAAAGAATAAGGATCTGTTGTTTTAAGCCACCCAGTTTGCGGCAGTTTGTTACAGCAATGGGAAACTAACATAACCTCCCACGAGTAGCCAAGTTGTGACATGAGCAGACATTCTAGAAATAGTTGTTGAATGTATCAAGAGCTGAGTCCCATCTCTCCCTGGCTGTGAGGCATCAGGCACTGGACTCAACTTCTTTGTGCCAGGGAGACAGGGACTGGTAGGGCCTGTTCCCTTGGGGCTTGTAACATGCAGAGGGTAGAGCACATGCAACTTCTACACCTGGCCACTGCTTCTCTGACTGTGATGTGCTCCCGGATCCCCTGGGGAACTTGTTAAAATGCAGACGCTTCAATGGCCCGAGGTTCTGTATTTCTAACGAGCTCCAGGCGAAGCCAATGCTGCTGGTCCATGGACTACACTTTGAGTAGAAGAGGCTAGAAGACTTCCCTCACCACCCAGCTCATGTGCTTTTGGAGGGGAAGCTTCGCATCATTGTTGCTGTATTAGTTTCCTGGGGCAGCCATTAACAGAGCACCACCCACTAAGGTGGCTTAAAACCACAAAAGTTTATTCTCTCACAGTTCTGGAGGCCAGAAGTCCAAACTCAAGTTGCTGTCAGGGCTGTGCTCCTTCTGAAGGCTCTAGCGGGGGATCCTTCCTTGCCTCTTCCAGCTCCTGGTGGCCTCAGGCATTCCTTGGCTTGTAGTTGCATCACTCCAAACTCCGCCTCTGTCTTCACATGGCCCTCTTCCCTGTGTCTGTGTCCCAGAACTCCCTCTCCTCTTCTTATAAGGACATCCTTCATTGGATTTAGGGTCCTCCCTAAGTCCAGGATGATCTCATCTCAAGATCCTTAACTAATTACATCTGCAAAGACCCTGTTTCCCAATAGGGTCACACTACGAGGTTCAGAGTGGACATACATTTTGGGAGGACACTATTTAAACCACCACAATTGCCCAAGACAGATGGAACGAGGGACTTTCCCATCCCCTGCACAAAGATCTCACAAACAACCCTGACATCAAATATAAATGACTTTGCCTTCTCCATGGCTCAGCCTAGAGTGGGATCTCATTTTCTTCTTCGTAAACCCCCAGCTCCAGTCACCTCTGATAGCACTAATTCCTGCAGCTGTGTGGAAGTACTAGCAATGGATTAAAGGGGCTTCCTGGGTGGAGGGAGTTAGCACAGTGGAGTCGTCTCCCAGCTCCACCATTATTAAGCACATCACTACATTCTGGGTTCCCATCTCTAGGTCAATAAATGAAAACGTGCAGAGGACGGGCCATTTTAAAAAAGGGAACTTGGGCTTCCCTGGTGGTGCAGTGGTTGAGAGTCTGCCTGCCAATGCAGGGGACACGCGTTCGTGCCCTGGTCCGGGAAGATCCCACATGCCGCGGAGCAGCTAGGCCCGTGAGCCATGGCCACTGAGCCTGCGCGTCCGGAGCCTGTGCTCCGCAACGGGAGAGGCCACAACAGTGAGAGGCCCGCGTACCGCAAAAAAAAAAAAAAAGGGAAACTTTTTGCAGAAGTATATCTACATATTTAGGTACACAGTTGAAGCTCTCAAGCTGATCATACCTCTGTAATCCACACCCAGATCAAGAAGCAACATCTCCAGCCCCCAAAGGCCCCTCCCAGGAACTATCGCCCCATCCAAGAGAAACCACTCTCTTGACTTCTAACAGCACAGGTGCCTTTTTTTTTTTTTAGGTGAAATTCTGTAACGCAAAATTTACCATTTTATAGTGAACAGTTCAGTGCCAGTTAGTACATTCATGATGTGCAACCACCACCTCTATCTAGTCCCAGAACATTTTTATTCCCCTAAAAGGAAACCTCATACCCATTAAGCATTCACTCCCCATTCTCTCCTGCCCCCAGATTGGTAACCACCAATCTGATTTCTGTCTCTATAGATTTGCCTATTTTGGGTACTTCATACAAATGAAATCATAAACTGTGTGACCTCTTGTATCTGGCTTCTTTCACTCAGCATCATGTTTTTAAGGTTCATCCACTCTGTAGCATGTGTCAGTACTGCATTACTTTTTATGGCTAAATAATATTCCACTGGATTGGTAAACCACATTTTATTTATTCATACACTGATGGACATTTGGGTTGTTCCCCCTTTTAGCCATTGTGAATAGTGCTGACATTAATTTTTGCCTGTCTTCATATTTTATGTAAATGGAATCATACAGTATATGCTTTTTTGGGTTTGGTTTTTGAGGAACATCAAGTTTTTGAGGTTGGCGGTGCCATGTTGGAGGAAACATCTGCAGTCTTTCCTCCAGCGCCCTCTGGTGGCAGAGAGCACTGGGTGCCTTCTGCCCCTTGTGGCAAAGGGATGGGGGTTCTGGTGGGCAAGACACTCGGCTCCCCAAGAAGATCCAGGTGGGAGATCTTACCAGGAGCCCCCCAAAGCTCCCTGGCTGATGTTGGAAGGCAGTGGGGTAAGATGGAAGAGTCATGTGGGGACACATCACACCAGACTGGGTGTAGACCCCCTCAGTCCCTACAACTCCTACCCATGGAGGGCCTGGCCTCACCCAGGAGTCTTGGCCTGTCCCCAGATGCCACTGAGAGGAGGCCCCTGTGTAACAGTCCTAACAGCAGTTTATTTTTGTTAATTATTCACTCATGGAGCCCAAGCATGTCTTACCTGGTGCTTCAATTAACTGCTTGTAAACGCTCAGGAAAGCAGCTTCGGCCTCCTGACTTCTCTTACTAAGAGCCACCACCTTTGGAAACAACAAGAGAAAGAATCACGTGTGACCACAGCATCTGAGTCTAGAAGCAAATTTAATCATTTTCTATATGTGCAAACATGGGATTGGGGGGAGGAAGAAGGGAAATGAAGATTAAAAGTATGGAGTAGACTGCCAAAATTCAGCTGATGGTGGCTGACTCCTTTGCCAGAGCAAGTTCTAAATAAATAGACTTTGCCTGTTAAAAAAAAAAAAGAAAAAAGAAAAAAGAAAAAAGTATGGAGTAGAAAGTCTGGGTTCAAGTTCCAGCTCCACTGCATCTGGCTGTGTGACCTTGGGCAAGTCACTGCCCCTCTCTGATCCTCAGTTTCCTCATATGTAAAACGGGGGTAAATGGGGCTTCCCTGGTGGCGCAGTGGTTGAGAGTCTGCCTACCGATGCAGGGGACACGGGTTCGTGCCCCAGTCCGCGAAGATCCCACATGCCGCGGAGCAGCTGGGCCTGTGAGCCATGGCCGCTGAGCCTGCGCGTCCGGAGCCTGTGCTCCGCAGCGGGAGAGGCCACAGCAATGAGAGGCCCGCATACCGCAAAAAAAAAAAAAAAAAAAAAGGGGTAAATAATAGAAACTACCTCTTAGGCCTGTTGTGAGGATCAAAAGAAGCTATATATAAGTGCTTAGCACAGGGCCTGGCACAACAGTAGGTTATTAACAGCTGTTACTATTATTCCTGTTATTAATGTCAGAGGTTCAAATATGACACGTTTTGTAGGAAAGTGGGACACATCTGGGGAATATGTGTTGCCACTGAAAATTAAAGAGAAATTGTTGAATCTCTAGTAAGATATCAGTTTCAACAAATGTCAAGAGTGACAGCTTGTGAAACAGTTCCTGGCATACCAAAGGTGCTCAATAACTGCCTCTTGATTGATCAATACACCAAATGACTGGATGACCAGTAGTGAGGAGCTACTTTCATGCATTCGTTCTCTTGCTCACAGACTTTTATTGTTCTGCCAGTGAGACTCCGTAAGATGTGTTTCTGGGGCTCAGCACCATCTCATCCCTCCGCTCCTGGCTGTGAATTCTGAGCTCCGGCCTCACAACTGCCTTGATGCTGGCTCTTCTTGACCACTCCCCTTGGCATTAGTCCTGGGCCTTCCTGGCACACTGTTGGACCAAGCTCCTGGCACCCACAGGTCACCATCCCTACCTCCTCGAGGACACACTGGGCTGGCATCCCCCTTTGGACTGGAACAGAGCTTTATTCCCCCTGGCACTGAAATACCTCTCCCTCTGGTGCCAACTTGCTAAATGATGACTCTATCAGAGCATCTACTTGTCAACACCCTCTTTCAGAGCTGGGCTTTTCCTATGAATCCCAGTAACGCCATTTGGGGAAGTGTCTGTTATTGAATTCCTCCCCTCAAAGTAAGCTCTGTGAGCGTGTGGTCTGGTGCACAGAAGGGGCTCAACATAATTTGTTGAATGAACAAATCCAAGTGGGTAGCACTGACTCTAGATCCTGTCTGTGACACCATTGTAGAGAAATGGCAGGGCCCAATTCTGAGACAGTCTGCTCACAGAGGTGATCAACCGAGGTATAGGTCCTGGAGCCAGGCTGCCTGGGTTCAAATCCCAGCTCCACCACTTATTATCTGTGTGTCCTTGAACAGGTGGGTCACTTCAATCCCTGTGCCTCTACTTCCCCACCTGTAAAACGGGGATAATAATATGATAGCCTCCCTCAAAGCGTCGCTAGAGGATCAAATGACTTAACACAATGTAAAGCCCTTTGCAAAACTCCTAGCATGCATTAAGCCCCATAGACATGTCACCTCTTGGTATGATCAACCCCTTCCTTCCTTCTTGCCTGTTATGGGGACAGGTTCTGCCCAGTGCTGGATGATAAACTTCAGTTGTGCTCATCTCTGGTGTCCTATGAAGACCACCTGAGAAAAGCCTCGCCTCCACACACAGCAGGGCACTCTGGGAAGAAGAATTTGAAAACCATAGCAGTTTCTCTGCAGCTTCCAATATGACAGCCATGAGCCTCATGTGGGTACTAAGCACTTGAAACGTGGCAAGTCCAAATCCAGATGTGCTGTGAGTGCAAATATGCACCGGATTTCAAAGACTTAGTTCAAAAAAAGAGAATGTACAATAGCTCATCAGCTATTCTTATGTTGATTACATGTTGAAGTGATAAAATTTTGGGTATTCTGGGTTAAATAAAATATATTATTAAAATTCATTTCACCTGTTTTCTTTTACTTTTTAAAATGTAGGTACTACAAAATGTAAAAGTACATGTGTGGATCACATTATATTTCTACTGGACAGCATGGCTTGAAGGTTTTACAAGGTCCACAGAGAATTTTTATTTAAGAGAGGTGGAGAGAAATATATGGTGGATGTTGAGCAAGTGATTTTAAAAACGTCAGTTACAAAAGCTCTTTAAGCTCTCTTGTTGTTATTCTGAGAGCAATCTCTGGTCGCTTACCTTCCAGAGTGAATGACAGTCTCTCCTACATTCAACAAACATTTCCTGAGCACCTGCTATGTGCCATGACCTGTGAGCTGAGAACTCAGCGATGAATAATGCAGCCTCAAGCCCCACCCTTAGAGGACTCACAGTCCAGTGGGGAGACGGACATTAAAGCAGATTCCCCAGGGCTTCCCTGATGGCGCAGTGGTTGAGAGTCCACCTGCCGATGCAGGGGACACGGGTTCGTGCCCCGGTCCGCGAAGATCCCACATGCCGCAGAGCGGCTGGGCCTGTGAGCCATGGCCGCTGAGCCTGCGCGTCCGGAGCCTGTGCTCCGCAACGGGAGAGCCCACAACAGTAAGAGGCCTGCGTACCGCAAAAAAAAAAAAAAAAAGGCAGATTCCCCAGATAATTCATTAATTACATGTGCTAAACACTTCAAAGGAAAAGCACAGGGGGGCTTGAGAGTGTGTAAGTGGGGGGAGACTGACCCAGTTTGATGGGTGGAAGGAACATCAGGAATTATCTCCCAGAAGGGGAAGATGGTGATGGACAGAAATAATGTTCTAGAATCTAGGCAAAGGGAAGATTTTTATTCTTGCTAAGATGTACAAAACACAGTTCCTGTTCTGGGGACTCACAGCTGAGTGGGAGACACAGCAATGCCAAAGAGGAACCGTAACACAGGAGGAGGTGATGCAAACACTGGAGTCTCCAGATTAATGTGAGGAGGGGGCAATTAATTCAGAGTTTGGGGGGACATCCTTGATGCACTAATAATAATAATAATGTAATATTCAGAGTTTACCATGTACCAGACACTTACTATTCATAATCATCCCTCTCCATACACCAATCACTGAAGGTAGCTGCTGTCATTATCCCCATTGTACAGATGAGGAAACTAAGACTCAGCGAGGTTAAATAACTTGCCCAAGGTCACTCAGTAAGTAAATGGTAGAGTGAGATTCACACCAGGTCTGGGGTTGAAATTACTGTTCTGAATCCAGATGTGGGCCCCTTTCTCCTGGATAGAAAAATCATCCCAGCCAGTGGGGACAATCACTCGGACCCCATCTGGATGCTGATGCCTTGATTTGCTATCTATGGCTGTACCAGGTCAGGGGCTGCTATGCTGCTGACCTGAGGTCCAAGAAAAGCCATGAGAAACAAAAGCAATTCATCTCCCGATCCCTAGATGGAGAATTATCAAAGATGAGCCAGCACAAAGTCTGAATGCTTCATTTTATAGTCGTCCATGCTAAGCATGTGTGGTAGCTGGAGTTTACGATAGGCATAAGAATGTTCTATTGACTTCTGATTTATTTCTTTTCTTTCTTTCTTTTTTTGGCTGTGTTGCGTCTTAGTTGCAGAACGTGGGGTCTTCGTTGAGGCATGTGAGATCTTTTGTTGCGGCACGGGTTCTTTGTTGCGGTACTCAGGTTTGTCTCTAGTTGTGGCGTGTGGGTTTTCTCTCTGTAGTTTGCAGCATGCGGGCTCTCTTGCTGAGGCGCACGAGCTCAGTAGTTGTGGTGCGCTGGTTTAGTTGCCCCGTGGTATGTGGGATCTTAGCTCCCGACCAGGGATCAAACCCACATCCCCTGCATTGGAAGGTGGATTCCTTACCACTGGACCACCAGGGAAGCCCTGCTATTGACTTCCAAAAAGGAATTCAGGGCAGAGGTGAGGGCAAGTCACAGAAGATCCCTTTATTGTTTCCCGGTCCCTATGCATAGCACCCTCTACTATCCATTCATGGTGCTTATCAGTTGTGTATTGATTATGTGTACGACTGTCTCCTTATAATGTCAGCCCGCCCCATTAAAGCTGTGCTGTCCAAAACAGTAAGCACTAGCCCATGTGGCCAGTGAGCACTTGAAATGTGACTATTCAAATTCAGATAGGCTGTACGTGTAAAATATGGGATTTCTAAGTCTTAGAAAGCAAAAAAGGAATGTAAAATATCTCAATAATTTTTATATTGATTTCATGTTGAAATGATAATATTGTGGACATATTGGGTTCAATAAAATATATTATCAAAATTAAACTAACCTATTTCATTTTACTTTTTATAACGCAGCTACTAGAAAAATTTTAATTACTTATGTCGTTTGCATTCTATTTCTACTGGACAGCACTGTCCTAGATCAAAGGTTAGGAAACTATGGCCCTTGGGCCAAATGTGGCCCTTCATCTGTATGTTTAAATAAAATTTTATTGGAACACAGCTACAATCATTCTTTTATGTATTGTCTATGGCTGCTTTCATGCTATAATGGTGGAGTTGCATAGTTGTGACAGACATTCTGGCTGCAAAGCTGAAAATATTTACTCTCCCTGGCCCTTAACAGAAAACATTTGCTGATCCCTGCTTTAGAGGTTCACCTAACGGCTGGACAATATTTTCAAAAGCAGAGATCAAAAAACATCCTGGAATGGCACTAGGTCTGAATTAGTTCAAGTTTAGGGCCTCCCATAGTAAATATGACTCTTGAAGACAGTAGTCATTTGGATGTCCTGCCTCGTTCAGTCTTGTTTTAGAGC